GTAAGGGGAAAAAATGAGAATCAAGACTTGCCATGTAAAGGTACATGATCCCAACAATGAATGTAACTGTACTGTATCCCTAAAATGTACCAATAAACTCAATAAAATTAAAAAAAAAAAGGACTCCATAGAAATCGAGAATAGTGAAAGGTGAGGAGTAATTCCTGTAAACACCTAAGTGACAGACTTGAAAAAGTGTATGACAGAGCAGGAAATGGCTTAGCAGACAGCATCTCACCAGATTCGGAAAGGACATCCCTAGCCATACTGCATTTATACCTGGGGTTGAGCTCTAAGCTTCGTGGTCATGGGTGCCGCCTGCTGGTCACGAGCACACCTGCAGGGAGGTTTATGTCTGGGCTCACACTGAAGTCCTCTCACTGTGTCTTGCACAGTAATACACGGCGGTGTCCTCGGGGGTCACGGAGTTCAGCTGCAGGGAGAACTGGTTCTTGGCTGTGTCAGCAGTGATGGAGATGCGGCCCTCAAAGGCTGGGTTGTAGTATGTGCTACCTGACCAGTACCCCATCCATTGGAGAGCTTTCCCAGGGGGCTGACGGATCCAACTCCAGTAGTAACTACTAGTGACAGAGCCCCCAGTGACAGTGCAGGTGAGGGACAGGGTCTGTCCAGGCTTCACCAGGCCAGGTCCTGACTCCTGAAGTGTTGGATCAGACAGGACACCTGAGGACAAGGAGAGTCACGGTGAGTCTTTCCCATCCCACTCCCAGGCCCCTGTAAACAACTACAGACCCCAGGACCCTCACCCAGAGGAGCAGTCATCAGGCACAGAAGGGTCCAGAGAGTCTTCATGGTGCCTGCAGGATGGAGACCTCCACAACAGCCTGTCTGGTGAGAGGATTTGTTCTGCTAGCTCCTAGCCTCATTTGCATGTGTGTCTGGAGGGCTGCATATAGGGGGCTGAGCCTGGGTGACTGTCAGTGGTTCTGAGACCTGGTACTCAGTATGGGAGCTGCCCAGCCTGGCCCTGGTTATCTGGGATTTGTTTTTTTCTAAGCCATACTCTGCTCTGTGACTTTGCATGGGTCAGTAGTGCATTTGATGACCATGTAAAGAACATGCTGAGGGTTTCGCTTCTATTTTCTATGAGACCATCAGGCTGTGGATGAAATTGTATTATTATTATTATTATTATTATTATTATTATTATTATTATTATTGTTATTTTGTAGTGGGATTGAACTCAGGATCTTGCACTTGCCAGGCAGGTGGGGCACCACTGAGCTACATCCCCAGGCCTGAAATTTTAATTTTTGGGGAGATCCTTCTTGCAGAGAACATGCTGGGTGTCGCTTCTATCCTCTGTGAGACCATCAGGCTGTGGATGAAATTGTATTATTATCATTATTAGTTTTTGTAGTGGGATTGAACTCAGGATCTTGCACTTGCCAATCAGGCGGGGCACCGCTGAGCTATATCCCCAGGCCTGAAATTTTAATTTTTGGGGAGATCCTTCTTGCAGGTGCTGTTGCTGCTGGTGGTGCACAATATACCTTAGCCCACCTGCCTGGGACTTTCAATATCTTTCAGATATGAGTCTTTCAAAATTCACATCCGTTTCTTCTCCAGCTTCTCCATCCCCTTTAGCTGTGATGTGCTGCAGAGAAGTTCTTTACAGACCATGGGAACTGGGGTTTCTAGATGTCTCACTCACCTGTATGTTTTATTATTTCATCTTTTTGAAAGTTTTCAATTATTATTTCAATAAACATAATTTTTATGTGATTTGTCCTAGTTTAAATTTTTTACTAATTACAATTAACCTTAGATTGGTCTTATTTGTATAACTTAGGAGCTGTGGATCTATTTTTCATGTTCTCTTTTTTGTTTTTAGAATGTCTTTCATTAATTGGTATTTACAACTGCCCCGTGTTCTGATTTTAAGACTCTGTCTTCCCATTGGTCACTTTGCTGCCCTTACTTTCAAGAGAATATTTAGTCTCCCAAGTTTCTCCTTGGAGCCCTTTTATGGACTCTAATTCATTGCTATGTTTATAATGTGTGTTCTGAGTCATTTTGCTTAGCTCTTCATCTTATTTAAGTGTCTTTTTTGGACTTGCTGGTGATTTTGTTTAACTGGCCCGGTGTCTTATTGTTTACACCTTCTTTGCCCTCCAGATGCCTTATTGAACTGTTTCATTATCCCCCTAATAGCACATTGAATGATTCATCTTGAGGCTCTTGCTGTTTCCCCTTTAATGCTACCTGGATAATCTTTGGGAGAGCTGGGAGTTCTGGAAAGCATTTTGTTGGACTGTCTTCTTGTGATTCTTTTTGTTTGTTTGCTTATTTTATGTTGAGACCTGTTGGCTCATTGTAGTGAAAAGTTCTGTTTCTAGTGTGGAGAAGTCCAAAGTTAATTTCTAGCTTTCAATGATGTTTCTTGGATGTAGAAAGTACAGGCTTTTGCCTCTGTCCCAGGACCCAACCACCTCCCTTTCAGTGATATGGGAGGCTGTGGCATGTTGTCAAGAAAGCTAATTAATAGCAACAGCTATGTCACCTTGGATATAGTAATACAATCAGTATCAATTATAGCATTAAATGCAAACAAAATATTGACCAACCCAAAGGACCAATAAAGTGCTATCGTTGTCAATTTCAAAAGAGATCTATACTTATAGTCTGAACACTAAGAGAATAAAAATATTGACATACCATTAACCTACAGTAATGGACCTACTAAGTGGACTGACTTTACCTCTACAGAAATTAGAACAGCAATAGTGAATTGTACACTATTATGTAGAAATTCATATAGTTTCATAGTTATACTAGTAATGGTGGAGGTGTGGGGAACCAGAGAATGGTAAAATAAAATTTTGAAAAATTAATGGAATAGGAGGAGGAGGTGAACGTAAGATAGGCTGTCCCATTAAGGAGTGAAAGAATTAATAATGAAACAGAAAATTTTGATAAAAGAAAGGTAAGAGGGAGAAGAAAAAGTTTGAAGGAAACAAGGTAAATGGAAAAAGAGAAACTAAAAAGAGAACAGAATACTGGGAGAAAAAGCCCAAATCCCCAAAAAGACTGATGAAGGAGAAAGAAATTCAAAACAGAAGATGAAAAAAGATTGAATCAAAGAAAAAATGCATATGTTATTAAATTAGTGGTTTCTTTCCGTGATCCTCAGTCTTGGGATCCAGCCAGTGATGGATGCTTTTCTATGCACTGCTTTAGGGCCTCTGTGATTTGAGGTGTCCTCCTGCACAGGAGACCCCTCTGTTCATTCCTCCCAGACCGTGGTCACCATCCGAGCCAAGGAGTGTCCTTCCCCTCATGGTAGATGGGAAACACAAACAGCCTTCTGTTCTCTGCTGGACTCAGGCTGCGAGGCGAGGGTTCGAGTGGGTTGGTGGACTCAGTGTGCACACTGATGCGGCTGGTCCTTCCTTCTCTCCCGGGTGCTGTCCTCGTCCAGGTTCAAGTCAGTTGGTTAGAATCTGACTCTGCTGCCCTGAGCTGTGCTCCCCGAGGGTGGGCTGGGGCTTCTCTGGCATGCGTCCTCTCGTGTGGGGCCTGGCGGCCCTCCCGTGCCGTGGGTCCGCTCTCTATGGGGTGTGGGTGCCTTTGCTCTCTTCTCACACGAGGGTGAGGACCCACTCCAGGTCTTCTCCCTCACACGGGGGAAGGACGCCACTCTTCAGGCACGGTTCTGCTCTCACGTGGGGTGCGGTTCCACTCTGAGTCTATCCCACTGCTCCAAGTATCTTATAATCAGTTCATTATTTTAGCGAATCTTGCCAGGTTCTGCCTGTCACAATCTTTCTTTTCACCAACTGAACTGGGTTAAGTAATCCCCCAAATTTCTCCTGTTGGAAACTTAGTTCTCAAAAAATAGTATTTGGAAATGTAAATACTGGGAGGTGATTGGGTCCGGAGCGCCCCTCCCTGGGTTGGTTAACCCACCAGTGGAGTAAAGGATTAGCAGGTCATTGGAGTGTGGCTCTGTTAAAGAGTGACTCCGTTTTCCTGGCCACTTGCGGTCTCTCCACGTGCTGCCCTCCACTGTGCGTGATGCACTGGGAAGCCCTCTCCACAAGCTGGCGCTGAGCTCTTGGGCATCTGGAGACGTAAGGTAAATGAACCCCTAACCTTCATAAATTACTTGCTCTGCTCGTCCATCCATCTATTCTGTGGCAGCAACAGAAAATGGACTCCGATACCAAGCAAACACTTTGAGTTGGAGAGTTTCCCTCATAATATTGCAAAGGTTGTGGCCCATTCCCGTGCTGCATACTTCAGTGTGCGCAAAAGCGTTTGGAAGTTAAAATTATTATTGATGGCCATGTTCCCCAGAATTATAACTAATTTTTCACTAGTGAATTCTGTCCTAAGCCAGGGTATTGATGAGTTGAGCCTTGATGAGTGTCTGAGGAATGAGAAGTGTAGTGAAAGCTCTTAGGGAGTCTCTCACAATGGGTGCGGCAATGGTGTAGCAAATTGTGAGAAGTGATTTCTGTAAAATCCTAAATGAGAGATTGGAGGGGATGTGGGTGACTGGCCCAGGAGGGGCTTGATGATAGTGAGAGAAGTCACCCCAGTCTCTGAAAGTGGGTCTATAGCCTCTCTTTGTATTTGTCCCTGGGGTGGAGCTCTGTGCTTAGTGGTCACAGGCTCCCCCTGCTGGCCGTAAGCACACCCGCGGGGAGCTTTTTGCCTGGGCTCACACTGATCTCACTGTGAGCCAAGTCCTGCACAGTAATACATGGCTGTGTCCTCGGGGGTCACGGAGTTCAGCTGCAGGGAGAACTGGTTCTTGGCTGTGTCAGCAGTGATGGAGATGCGGTCCTCAAAGGCTGGGTTGTAGTTTGTGCTCCTTAACAAGAAGCTCCCCATCCACTGTAGAGCTTTCCCAGGGGGCTGGCGGATCCAATGCCAGTAGTAACTAGTAGTGACAGAGCCCCCGGTGACAGTGCAGGTGAGGGACAGGGTCTGTCCAGGCTTCACCAGGCCAGGTCCTGAATCCTGAAGTGTCAGATCAGACAGGACACCTGAGGACAAGGGGAGTCATGGTGAGTTTTTCACGTTCCACTCACAGTCCCCTGTGTACAACTAGAGACCCCAGGACCCTCACCCAGAGGAGCAGTCATCAGGCACAGAAGGGTCCAGAGCGTCTTCATGGTGCCTGCAGGATGGAGACCTCCACAACAGCCTGTCTGGTGAGAGGATTTGTTCTGCTAGCTCCTAGCCTCATTTGCATGTGTGTCTGGAGGGGCTGCGTAAAGGAGGTGGAGCCTGGGTGACTGTCACTGGTTCTGAGACCTGGTACTTAGTATGGGAGCTGCCTAGCCTGGCTCTGGTCATCTGGGATTTATTCTTTTCTACGCTGTACTCGGTTCTGTGACTTTGCATGGGTCAGTGGTGCAGTTGATGACCATGTAACGAACATGCTGAGGGTTTCGCTTCTATCCTCTGTGAGACCATCAGGCTGTGGATGAAATTGTATTATTATCATTATTAGTTTTTGTAGTGGGATTGAACTCAGGATCTTGCACTTGCCAATCAGGCGGGGCACCACTGAGCTACATCCCCAGGCCTGAAATTTTAATTTTTGGGGAGATCCTTCTTGCAGGTGCTGTTGCTGCTGGTGGTGCACAATATACCTTAGCCCACCTGCCTGGGACTTTCAATATCTTTCAGATATGAGTCTTTCAAAATTCACATCCGTTTCTTCTCCAGCTTCTCCATCCCCTTTAGCTGTGATGTGCTGCAGAGAAGTTCTTTACAGACCATGGGAACTGGGGTTTCTAGATGTCTCACTCACCTGTATGTTTTATTATTTCATCTTTTTGAAAGTTTTCAATTATTATTTCAATAAACATAATTTTTATGTGATTTGTCCTAGTTTAAATTTTTTACTAATTACAATTAACCTTAGATTGGTCTTATTTGTATAACTTAGGAGCTGTGGATCTATTTTTCATGTTCTCTTTTTTGTTTTTAGAATGTCTTTCATTAATTGGTATTTACAACTGCCCCGTGTTCTGATTTTAAGACTCTGTCTTCCCATTGGTCACTTTGCTGCCCTTACTTTCAAGAGAATATTTAAGCTCCCGAGTTTCTCCTTGGAGCCCTTTTATGGACACTAATTCATGGCTATGTTTATAATGTGTGTTCTGAGTCATTTTGCTTAGCTCTTCATCTTATTTAAGTGTCTCTTTTGGACTTGCTGGTGATTTTGTTTAACTGGCCCAGTGTCTTATTGCTTATGCCTTCTTTGCCCTCCAGATGCCTTATTGAACTGTTTCATTATCCCCCTAATAGCACATTGAATGATTCAGCTTGAGCCTATTGCTGTTTCCTCTTCAATGCTACATGGATAATCTTTGTTAGAGCTGGGAGTTCTGGGAAGCATTTTGTTGGACTGTCTTCTTGTGATTCTTTTTGTTTGTTTGCTTATTTTATGTTGAGACCTGTTGACTTATTGTAGTGAAAAGTTCTGTTTCTAGTGTGAAGTCCAAAGTTAATTTCTAGCTTTCAATGATGTTTCTTGGATGTAGGAAGTACAGGCTTTTGCCTCTATCCCAGGACCCAACCCCCTCCCTTTCAGTGATATGGGAGGCTGTAGCATGTTGTCAAGAAAGCTAATTAATAGCAACAGCTATATCACCTTGGATATAGTAATACAATCAGTATCAATTGTAGCATTAAATGCAGACAAAATATTGACCAACCCAAAGGACCAATAAAGTGCTATAGTTGTCAATGGAAAAGAGATCTATACTTATAGTCTGAACACTAAGAGAATAAAAATATTGACATACCATTAACCTACAGTAATGGACCTACTAAGTGGACTGACTTTACCTCTACAGAAATTAGAACAGCAATAGTGTATTGTACACTATTATGTAGAGATTCATAAAGATTCATAGTTATACTAGTATAACTATGGAAGTGGAGGTGTGGGGAACCAGAGAATGGTAAAATAAAATTTTGAAAAATTAATGTAATAGGAGCAGGAGGTGAACGTAAAATAGGCTGTCCCATTAAGGAGTGAAAGAATTAATAATGAAACAGAAAATTTTGATAAAAGAAAGGTAAGAAGGAAAAGAAAAACTGTTGTAAGGAGACAAGGTAAATGCCAAAAGAGAAACTAAATGAAGAGAAAAAAATCCTAAAAGAAAAAGCCCAAATCCCCAGAAAGACTAATGAAGGAAAAGGAAATTCAAAATGGAAGATGAAAAAGATTACATAAAAATGCATATATTATTGAATGAGTGGTTTCTTTCCATGATCCACAGTCTTAGGATCCATCCAGTGATGCTTTTCTATGCACTGCTTTAGGGCCTCTGTGATTTGAGGTGTCCTCCTGCACAGGAGACCCCTCTGTTCATTCCTCCCAGACCGTGGTCACCATCCGAGCCAAGGAGTGTCCTTCCCCTCATGGTAGATGGGAAACACAAACAGCCCTCTGTTCTCTGCTGGACTCAGGCTGCGAGGCGAGGGTTCGAGTGGGTTGGTGGACTCAGTGTGCACACTGATGCGGCTGGTCCTTCCTTCTCTCCCGGGTGCTGTCCTCGTCCAGGTTCAAGTCAGTTGGTTAGAATCTGACTCTGCTGCCCTGAGCTGTGCTCCCCGAGGGTGGGCTGGGGCTTCTCTGGCATGCGTCCTCTCGTGTGGGGCCTGGCGGCCCTCCCGTGCCGTGGGTCCGCTCTCTATGGGGTGTGGGTGCCTTTGCTCTCTTCTCACACGAGGGTGAGGACCCACTCCAGGTCTTCTCCCTCACACGGGGGAAGGACGCCACTCTTCAGGCACGGTTCTGCTCTCACGTGGGGTGCGGTTCCACTCTGAGTCTATCCCACTGCTCCAAGTATCTTATAATCAGTTCATTATTTTAGCGAATCTTGCCAGGTTCTGCCTGTCACAATCTTTCTTTTCACCAACTGAACTGGGTTAAGTAATCCCCCAAGTTTCTCCTGTTGGAAACTTAGTTCTCAAAAGATAGTATTTGGAAATGTAAATACTGGGAGGTGATTGGGTCCGGAGCGCCCCTCCCTGGGTTGGTTAACCCACCAATGGAGTAAAGGATTAGCAGGTCATTGGAGTGTGGCTCTGTTAAAGAGTGACTCCGTTTTCCTGGCCACTTGCGGTCTCTCCACGTGCTGCCCTCCACTGTGCGTGATGCACTGGGAAGCCCTCTCCACAAGCTGGCGCTGAGCTCTTGGGCATCTGGAGACGTAAGGTAAATGAACCCCTAACCTTCATAAATTACTCGCTGTGCTCGTCCATCCATCTATTCTGTGGCAGCAACAGAAAATGGACTCGGATACCAAGCAAACACCGTGAGTTGGAGAATGTTTCCCTCATAATATAACAAAGGTTGTGGTCCATTCCCATGCTGCATTCTTCAGTGTGGACAAAATTTTTGGAAGTTAAAATTATTATTGATTCACTGTTTCCCTAGAATTATAAATAATTTTACACAAATGAGTTTTTTCCTAAGCCCGAGTTTTGATGAATTGAGCCATTGTGTTTCAGGAATGAGTATTGTAGGGCCAAGGGTTTAGCTCAGTGGTCGTGCTGCTGACTTCCTCGAAAGCACAAGGATCCAAGTTAGATCCCCAGTACCATAAAGAAAAAGAAAAAGATAAAGAATGAGTACTATGTTGATGCCTCTTACGCCGTCTTTTGTAATGGGTGTGCCAAAGGTGTAGCTAATGGTGAGGAGAGATTCTTGTAAAAACCTAACAGAGATTTGAGGGAATTCGGGTGACTGGCCCAGGAATGGCTTGATGATAGTGAGTGTCACCCCAATTTCTGAAAGCTGATCTACAGCCTTACTTTATATTTGTCCCTGGGGTGGAGCTCCGAGCTTCGTGGTCATGGGTGCCCCCTGCTGGTCTTGAGCACACCTGCAGGGAGGTTTATGTCTGAGGTCACACTGAAGTCCTCTCACTGTGTCCCGCACAGTAATACACGGCGGTGTCCTCCGGGGTCACGGAGTTCAGCTGCAGGGAGAACTGGTTCTTGGCTGTGTCAGCAGTGATGGAGATGCGGTCTTTAAAGGCTGGGTTGTACTCTGTGCTTCCTAACTCGAAGTTCCCCATCCACTGTACAGCTTTCCCAGGAGGCTGGCGTATCCAACTCCAGTAGTAACTAGTGATAGAGCCCCCGGTGACAGTGCAGGTGAGGGACAGGGTCTGTCCAGGCTTCACCAGGCCAGGTCCTGACTCCTGCAGTGTCGGATCAGACAGGACACCTGAGGACAAGGGGAGTCATGGTGAGTCTTTCCCGTTCCACTCCCAGTCCCCTGTAACCGTCTAGAGACCCCAGGACCCTCACCCAGAGGAGCAGTCATCAGGCACAGAAGGGTCCACAGCATCTCCATGTTGTCATGCAGGACTGAGACCTCCACCCTGGCCCTGCTTGTGACAGAGATTTCTTCTGCCAGCGCCTCGCGTGATTTGCATGTGTCTCTGGCAGGCAGTATAAGAGCTGAACCAGGATGACACGGGTTCCTGAGACCTGGTACTGCGTGGTGGAGCTGCTGAGCCCAGCGCTGGTGCTATGGGATCCACTCCTAGCTAAGATGTTGTCTGCTATGTGACTTTATTGGGATTGGTGCTGCATTCGATGACCATGTAAAGAAAATGTTATGGTTTCCCTCTTGTCTCCTATCAGCCCCTCATTCTGTGCCTTTGAATTAACTCCTGGAGAAGCCCTTCATTAAAGTAGTGTTCCAGGCAGTGCTGTAGATTCTACCTCGCCCACCTGGCTGGGGCTCTCGTGGTTCATATTCATCAAATACGAGTCTTCGACAGCTCATGTTGACTTCTTCCCCAGTGTTTCTAATTGCAAATGCAGACAGTGCGGTAGCTCTGATACAAGACAGCGACCCCATGCACACCATCATTTTAGCAGCATCTTGGCCACGGACCATTCATGTCTGAGAAGAGTTTGCATCAGAATTTAGGGCCAATGACAGGCAGTGACAGCAAGGCAGAGGGTGTGGGTGCTGTTGCATTTGGGCTGAGGATAGAGAGGCGTTATTGAGGGTGGAGAGGAGAGGCCCACAGCAAGGAGGCAAACTTGATCTCCAGGCAGCCAAGAGGGTGCACTACAGAGAGCCAGGGCAGGAGCAGCCACCGGACAGAGTCTATTCAAATTGAGCAGCGGGTGAACTGGAAATGGTGTCTACTCCTCATAAGTGGGTCTCCAAAGAGGAGGCAAACTTGATCTCCAGGCAGCCAAGAGGGTGCACTACAGAGAGCCCAGGCAGGAGCAGCCACCGGACAGATTCTATTCAAATTGAGCAGCGGGTGAGCTGGAAATGATGTCTACTCCTCATAAGTGGGTCTCCAAGTAAGAGGCGTCATGACGGCCTCAGGGGAAGTCCTGACAACGTGCAGATTTCCTCATCAGGCTCTTCGTGACACATGAGGACACAGCGCCACTGTCAGCACTTCTGGAGGAAGTGTCCACAGCAGCTCTCTAGAGTAAGAGAGTAATAAGGAAATGAAGTGAATAAAAAAAGCATTTAGGGAGAAGAAAGGTCTGGAATAATCTGGCTGTAAGAGTGATCTCAATTCCTTTTTTTTTTTTTTTTTCCTGGTACTGGGGATTGAATTTAGGTCCTTTCACTTGCGAGGCAGGTGGTGGCACCACTGAGCTAAATCCCTGGCTCAAGAGTGGTCTCAATTTTTCAAGGAAGAGCAGAATGTCAGGAAAAAGAAGGTGGATATAAGAACAAATAAGCATTTTTAGATTTACAGAAAACAAAAGCTTGAGTATAAGGAACTATGTAGATATTTCAGAGAGCAGAAAGAAACTTTTGAAAACATAAAATCATTGTAAAGAATACTGTACTCTATGGTTGTGACACATTATATTTATCCACTCACATTTTTCCATTTAGCTTGTTGATACATTTTAGGTATACAGTACAGTTACATTCATCATTGTGATCTTGTACCTTTACATGATGTATCTTGGTTCTTATTTTTCCCTATGTCCCTGCCTTCCCTTCACCCCCTCCTCCCTTCCCTATTTTCAGAGACTTTGTTTCAATTTTTTACTTTTCTCATATTTTTTTCTTTTAACTTCTTACCTTTTCCCCACCAATCCTACTTCCCCTACTCCTTTAGACCATTTCTTCCTATTTTATGTTATCAATTATACATTTTGAACCTTATTTACAGTTTTATTTTATCACACCAGATAAACTATTTGATATTTACACATGTGTGTCCTATTAATTTCACTTAAGAATAAGGCCTCAGTGTGCATCCACTTAGCTACAAATCTCTCTAGTTTCTCATTCTTTATGGCTGAGTAGTGCTCCATTTTATATATATATATGTGTGTGTGTGTGTGTGTGTATATATATATATATGCACATCTTCTTTATCCAGTCTCCAGTTGATGGGCAGTTGGGCTGTTTCCAAGTTTTGGCTATTTCAAATTGTGCTGCTATAAACATGGGTGAGCATATATCGCTGTGGTATGATTCTTCTAATTCTTTTAGGAAGATACCCAGCAGGGGAATAGCTGGGTCCAATGGGAATTCTAAGCCTGGTTATTTGAGGTATCTCCATGTTGATTTCCACAGTGGCTGCACCAGTCTGCACTCCCACCAACAATGGAGAAGCGTTCCTATCTCTCCACAACCGCACCAGCATTTGTTATTTGTTGATTTCTTGGTAGCCGTCATTCTTTCTGGGGTGAGATGGAATCTCAGTGTTGTTTTTATCTGTATCTCTGGGAATGACTAGAGATGTTGAACATATTTTCATATGCTCATTTAATGCTTTTACTGCTTTGAGAAATGTCTGTTCATTTCAGATGCCTGTTTTTGAATCGGATCATTATCTTTGGAGGGTCTGATTCTTTTTTAGTTCTTTATATATTCTAGATAGTAGATCTTTGAGGAACAGCTGGTAAAATTTTTTCCCCACATTGTAGGTTGTCTCTTAGCCATGTTGGTGGTTTTTCTTGCAGTGCAGAAGCTTTTCAAAAAGGTGAAATCCCAATGGTTAATTCTTTGTGCTAGTTCCTGTGCTACTGAGGATTTGTTCATAAAGTCTTTTCCTATGCTGATATCTTCAAGAGTTCTACTGGTCTTCCAGCAGCTTTAGTGCTTCCATTCACACATATTAAATGACATCTTCCTTTGCAGCATAGGGTGGTTATGAATGTAGTAAAAATAATGATCCCATGCCACTGTTTTTCTGATATATATTACTTCTTACTTTATTTTGTGCAGCTTATTTTATTTTAACTAGTACTTAAAATCATGAAGATTGTGCCGAATTTAGGTCTAATGTGATGTTTTTATATATGTATACCTTGTGTTGAATGTAAATCAGGATAAACTTTTATCATTTTTATAATAGAAATACTCAAACTCCTTCTGCTAGGTTTGTGAAATTCACAGTGCAGTACTGTTACCTATAATGGCCCGCATGTGCAAAGCACACCAGAGCTTCTTACTCCTATAGAATGGTCCCTCAGTCCCCCTTCATTAAGCTCTCCTTAAAAAAAAAAATCTGTTGGATAAACACCTACAGAGCTACTTCCCTGGGTTGTGCTTTATGATGAGGTCTGGTTTTCAGAAGCTGTCACTATTCGTTCTGTGTATTTTTGCCTTCTTGTGCTACCACCATCAAGAAGTGCGAGTTTATACTGCTCCGAAAATTACCAGGTCGGCCATGTTATTGTAGGACTGGATGTATCGGAAAAAGCATCTCGTGGTTCCCTGTTTCATTTGGAGTTCCTAAATGAAAACAATGGGACTTTTGCTTCTTCATGCTTGTTATATGTTTATCTTCTTTAAAAATGGGCCACTCAGTTGTTTTACTTACATTTGGGGGACTGTCGATGGAAAAGTTTGCAATTCTTAGTGGGTTCTTAAGGTGCTGCTGAAACTTGTGTTCTGATTTCACTTTCCAGTGAATATTGTCCACAAATGTCTGACCGCTGAAGCAATGCCCTGAGTATGTGCGATTGTGACGTGAGATACACTCTCCTGGGGGAAGATAGGTCTTAGCAAAGAGATGTGATCATCGTTTTCTTTGAGTTGAATGTCTGTTTGCAACTCTGAACTTTGTGCTTGGAAACCTGCAGAGTGTATTCATGTCACCGGAACTCGGGGGCACAAATGTACCAAAAATTGGCTGAAGTTTTCAATAAATTTGAAAGCTATTTTCAAACTCCTTAAGAATTGCAGAACAAGGTGGTATATTTTTCACTCTTCCTGTGTCCGTGTTTAAGTGTACATATCAAAATGCACAAAGTTATTGACATAACCTGAACTTACCATAATACATACAAGATTCTTGTCAAACACTGGCATGGTTTGAAGCAGTACAAATAAAGCAATTTTAGCCTTTAAAATGCATGTTTAACTCATTCAAGTAAGCCATACAATTTACCAACAGTGCTAAATACGTGAGCCATTTTTCCTCCTAAAGTTTTGGCACAGATTTTCATTTTGATTCCATAAATGACTTCATTTCATTTCACAAATTATAAAGTATTTTCAACATTTCACCCCACCTTAGCCATCTGACTTCAGAAAAGTCAACCATGTCCCACTACTTAGCACACTTTTAAAGAGATGAATCAATGGAGAAAGTTTGGTATACATATTCAGTGGAGTACTACTCAGCCATAAAGATGGATGCGTTTGAATCATCTGTAGGAAAATTGATGTCTCTTGAGACTGTAATGCTATGTGAAATATATCTGACACAGGAGGTTAAACGTTAAATGGCTTCACCTATATGAGAAACCCAAAGTATGAATAGTTTAGCTAAATTAAGAGATAGGTGACAAGAAAGAGGAAGAGAGACTTTGTGGGGCTTCATTTTGGCATGTTTGTACCTGCTCAGGAAATACTTACATAATATTTACCTCCACCCTGTTACTCTCCTTCTCTCTTTTTGTTATCCTCTGCTTACTCTCTAACAGCCTCTTCTTTCTCATATTTTATTATTGAGTCAATTTCTATTTTCTTAGTGGTAGCTAATGTACTGCATGTTTCCAAAGTAGCAATTCCCATCTATATGTTTTCTTTGGTGAAGTGTGTGTGTGTTGAGATCCTCACTAATTTTTTTACTGCATTTCTTATTTTCTGTTTGTGTAAATTAAAAATATTCCTCTATATCTTGAAGCATTTCATTTCTCTTGGGTAAGCTCTATGAATATTTTCTACTAGTGTGGCTTCCCTGTGTAATTTCTTTATATACTTTTTCCAGTTGCTATGATTTTCTTCAGGATTTGATTATGTTTTCAGGATATACTCTGGCCTCACATGAATTTTAGTTTTTCTCTCTGTGTGTGTGTGTGTGTGTGTGTGTGTGTGTACTTAAGTGAAATGTATTTTTATGGAGCACAGAAATGTATG